ACACGCACATTCCACTTCGGGATAGTCTGTCTGCGAGATCATCTAGCGCGTCTCACTCTCCCCGAGTCTTGTTGGAAATGTTCATCCTTGGGGAGTTCTAGATTTTGCATTAAGGAACCACAAAACTGTTTTTGTTAAGCCCCAGTGCTACCTTTCTCTCTCTCCTCAGCACCCTCGAGTACCTACAAGAATTAACAGTGCCAAAAGAAGCCAGGGATGTTGCCTTTTCTCTTCTTAGAGGGTTTTGTTTTTAGCCCTTTGAACGCAACTGCTAAAGAGAGAAATGCGGACTTGAGTTACACGGGGGGCGTGCACAGGCACCCATACCCACAACCCAGGGCAGAAATAGCCCCGTGGTCTGCAGTGAGCACAATGGCCGACGTCAGCGTGAGCTATGGCCTTCCCCAGAACAAACACACCGGTGACGCCGGTGGCGCTATGTCTTCAGAGCCAAATTAACAAATTGAAGCAAATAAAAAAATGTTTATCTGGAGCCTGGTCCCTGAACTCAGGTAAGTGTTGTGCTGCTGTAATAACACCTGGAAACACAGGACAAGCCAACACACACCCTGGCCCCAGAGCCAGAGTTTCTCTGTGGAGAAGCCCTGAGGAGAATAAAATGCCTCTGCAGATGAGGTTATAAATGCAGGCAACCATTTGCTCCCATTTATGCCCCGACACTCATCTTACAGACGTGCAGACAGTCCACACAGGGGCCCAGAGCGCTGCTACCCCACCGAGGTGTAAGCAGCTGTCTTCTCCCCCAACCAGGGGAGAAGCTGACAACAGAGAAATCCAAGCAACTTTGTCCGAAAAGCCAGCTCTACCTGGCTCACAGTTTGGTTTTGGATACTTCAGGAATAAAGAGTTCGTATTTCAAACAAACCATGACTGTGCTTTTAGAATTCCACATCAACATGAGAAGACCGAGAGCCCAACTATATAAATGGAACCTCCAAGGAAGGTAATATAAAACCCATGGGACTTGCCACTCAGCGGGCACCCTTCACAAAGTCTGCATAGCGAAGGCCATGCTGCCCTCTTGTGCCAGATGTGAAAAAGGAAGTGAATTCTGTCCGTGCCAGGAAAAACGCCTTCACATTGGAAACAGAAATCTTCTCTTAATCTTTCAACAACTTACTGTTGACCTGGGATTTGCTCTGATAGAAGCAAATGGGGCCGAGGGAGAAGGCAGGCCGAGGTCTGCCACCAGCAGAGGAAAACAAAACCAGTCTGTACAGGCACCCATAACGCAGCCTTTCGTTACAATCCAGCTACCCCGCCAAGGGGTCAGCAGCTCAGGCAGATGACCGCGGCAGCTTCTTCATAGACACGCATGGTACGGATACCAAATGCAGTCAAGGAGGAGAGGATAAGAACCGGAGGTGAAGGAGAGGGAAGAAGGTAAGGAAGAGAAGAAGGAAACTAGCTTTGCCATCCTCAGACCACATGCAAGTTGAACCCATTTTTATACATTTCCAGACCGAGAGTGATTATGCTCAGTGACTAAGTTCAGATGGACACAGACAATCACCCTGTGATTTCAGTCCTATGTGCGAGAGAAAAAAACAAACCTAAAGGACCCACACAAGAGAACTCTTAAGCTACTGAGAACTAAGTAGGGGTGACCACAAAGGAAGAGGGGGTGGAGGAGCAAATGGGGTGAAGGAGAAGAGAATTCGAGGCTACAGTCACGCTTGGGTATCACCTATGGTCTCAGTGTGCTCAAGTCCGCGAAGAACTACTGACCCTATTCACTGACTATAGCCTTTCTGATAGTCAGTCACAAGGTTAGTGACAAATGATTGGGTTCCACACCTGGTGGAGTGGTCAACAAGCCCAGAGAGGGGTTTGCCTGTGCAGTGGGGTGATATACTAAGACAAGAAGGAAAATAAAAAAACAAGAAAGAAAGAGAAGAGAATTGCAGAGTGAAAGGCGAACTAGCCTGTTGGTGGTGTGGTAACACAGCACATAGACATACTGGTTTATAATGCTGTGCTCCTGAAACCTGTCGCATGCTACACATCAACATTATCCCAATTTTTAAGAGTTAATGTGTTTACCCAGCACCCCTAGGATTTATCACATTAAAAATGATCTGAAAACAAATAAGGTATCAGTTTATACACACTAACTTCCCGCACTCAAC